GTAATCCCGCGCCTTTGGGAGGCTGAGGTGAGTGGATTGCCTGAGCCTGCAGGTTCGAGACCTGCCTGGGCAACTTGGCGAGACCTCATCTCTACAATACACTGAAAAAAAAAAATCAGCCGGGCGTGGTAGCACGCGCCTGCAGTTCCAGCTACTTGGAAGGCTGAGGCGGAAGGATCGCCGGAGCCCAGCAGGTCGAGGCTGCGGTGGCCAGGAGTGGCCACTGCACTCCAGTCTGGGTGACAGAGTGAGACTCCAACTCAAAAAAAGACCTACAGATGATAAAATAATCAGATTTCTTGGCTTTAATTAATCAGAGTAATGAATTCAGAGTCTGTCTTTGAATTTGGAATTCTCTAATTTGTTTTCCAAAAATGAAAACATATAAATGGCTAATACCCCTCTGTATAAAATTTGTCAGTAGTAGAAACCAGTGTTGTGAATAACATAGATGTCCTGGAAATGTGTCTGTAACTATGTTCTGAGTGGCCTGTGGATGCGGTGTTTTAAGTGAGCTGGTGAGGCTCTGCTTCAAACACCTGGTGGGAGGAATCAGTAGATTGCCAAACATCTGGTCTGGTTTTCTCCATCAGATTGTTTCCCTTTGTTCTCCATTCTGTGCAAGAGACCAAGACCTTCCTTTTGTTTTTACTGCATGAGAATAACCTGTGCCCAGTATTTCTGGTCTATTCATAGTTCTCATAAGTTGGAGGCTAAATCTGTTGGTGATAATTGGCCTTCTCCTGAATTGCAGGTTGTATGAAGTGAAGATTAAATAAGTGGCCATGAATATCAATGTCAGAAGACATTACCACTGATCGAAACCACTTTTCTGGTCTCTATTACTATTCAGTCATGTCAAAATTGTTTCTGAGGGATTTGCTTCCTAGCCATCCTGCCAGAAAATGGGGAGGGCACAGCCTGGGTTAATGGTTTTGTAGTGAGACTGGCCAATTACAGCCCTCCATAGTAGTGGTGGAGCCAATCCAAGCTTCAGTTTCCTCATCTTCAAATGGAGCTGTCATCTCATCTCTCTCTCATAAGGTTGACATGGAAATTAAAAAGCACATAGGAAATGTTTACCACGTTGCCTGTTAGTTACAGGCATTTTGTAAATGCTGTTTTCCTGCCCCTCTGGAACACCTCCAGGCTATAGTGTCAGGGACGGGATCAATCTTACTTACGTGTGTGCTAGTAAGATGCTCAGGACAAATGCCTGTCTTTTTGGTGCGTGCGTGGATAGAATGTAGATCACAAACCTGCTGGTCTGAATCATGTTGCTGCTCCTTTTGCTGAGATCCTTGCAAAAGAGACATAGTGTCGTCGATACAGGGCTCTTCTCTACACCCAGGTGGGAACTTGTCACTCACAGCAATTTGTTTACCTCAAGTCTTTGGGGAAATGAAAAATTACTCTTCTTTGACTGAAGCTTGGTCACTAAGTATTTGATTCAACATCCTCTGAGTGCTCAGATAAGCTTGAATTTAAGTCCCAGAAATGAGCCAGATTCCTAGAATGGCTCAGACTTATTCTGACTTTCTTGAATGCCTTCGGCTAAAACCCAAGCCAGAATTATTGCTGTGATTGTGAATTTGGCCCATTTCCCAGGAATGTGGATTCTGCTGAGTGTGTCAATTGATTTGACTGTTTTTTATCAAGAAATTCTTGTTTGCATAGAAATCTTTACGCTGCAGTACTAAAATCATGTGAAACAAGAGGAAAAATCTATTTATTCAAGAAAGAATATTTTCACAATGTAGTAAGAGTGTGAATTTTTTTTTCTTTTTGAGAAAGCAGGATTTATTGAAAGGACATAAAAACTCCCAGAGCAGGAGGAGACCTGAGGGGGTTCGTGAATTTTTTTTTTTTTTTTGAGTTGGAGTCTCACTCTGTCGACAACCCAGGCTGGAGTGCTGTGTCATGCTCCCAGCCACCGCAGCCTCAACTTGCTGGGCTCTGGCGATCCTTCCACCTCAGCCTTCCAAGTAGCTGGAGCTACAGGTGCGTGCTACCACGCCCGGCTAATTTTTTGATTTATTGTAGAAATTAGTTCTCGCCAAGTTGCCCAGGTGGGTCTCGAACCTGCGGGCTCAGGCAGTTCACTCACCTCAGCCTCCCAAGGCGCGGGATTACAGGCTGAGCCACTGAGCCCAGCCATGAACTTTTAATGTAAGCTTTTTAAAGCTCTAAAGGAACTATGCTGCTTTACTCCCAAGTTTGCCCATTTTTAACCTTCAGGAGAAACTTCTTGGTTTTATTTATTTACGTTTCTCTTTTGAGTGGGGTCTTACTCTGTTGCCTAGGTTGGAGTGCTGTGGCACAATCACGGTTCACTGCAGCCTCAACCTGCTGGACTCAGGTGATCTTTCCTTCTCAGTCTCCTGAAATTGCTTGCTGAATGTTCTGAGAAGAGGGGCCACTGTTTTATTTACATTCTCTGAGGGGCAGAAATCTAAAAAAACTTAAGAACTGCTGTGATTAGGAGATCATGATCATAGAGAAAGTCCTGAATGTTGGGGTGTTTTACTTTATAGAGCCCATACTTTTCAGCATGTTGAGAGGCAGTGTTTAGTGGCTAATAGCCCAGACCCCTGAAACTAGGTTGCCTGTGTTTGTGTCTGAGTTCTGCTGTCTGAACATCTTTGGGCAGGGCTCTTCCCTGTGCCTCCATTTTCTCACCTACAAAATGAGGATAATAATAATAACGGCACGATGAAATATTATGCAGCCATAAAGAAGAACAAAACCACGAACTTCACAGCAACCTGGATGGACTTAGAGTCTATAATACTGAGTGATCTTTCACAAAAATAAAGAACTGAGTATTGCATGTTCTCACTCACAAGCGGACCTTGAACAATTATCGTAATATTATAAGAAAAGGATTAGCAGTAGTAGGAAACTGCCGGGAGAGGGAGGGGAAGTGGGATTGGCAGCAGTGGGAATCTGCCTGGGGAGGGAGGGGGGCACACCTCATCAGGTGTACCTGTATAACGAACATTTGTATACCTAATCCTGAATTGTGCCACACATCTTTTTTTTTTTTTTTGAGTTGGAGTCTCACTCTGTCGCCCAGACTGGAGTGCAGGGGCCACTCCCAGCCACCGCAGCCTCGACCTGCTGGGCTCCGGCGATCCTTCCACCTCAGCCTTCCGAGTAGCGGAATTACAGGCGCGCACTACCACGCCTGGCTAATTTTTTGATTTATTGTAGAACCACACATCTTAAAAGTAAAAAAAAAAAAAAGTGGTTCACTGAAAAAGAAAAGAATAATAATAATAACATATCTCAAATAAGTTATTATCCTCATAAATCCTATTATGAGGATTTCATTTGTGTACATGTATGTATACATATACATACATACATGACTATACAAAATGATTTGTATAGCGTCCCAACACTTGATATTAGCTATAGCCATCAGGGAACTCTATGGGGGGGGGACTCAAAAATAAATTAATTAATTTATTAAAAGTTGTGTATTTATTCTTACATGTTTAAACTTCAGTCACCTTCAAAGTACTCTTCATTTGATACAATATATCTATTGAGATGCTTTTCTTGCTGCTCAAAACAGTTTTTGAATGCATCAATCGATTTTGTGCTGCTTTTAGTGCTGCTTCTTTTTTTTTTTCTGAGTTGGAATCTCACTGTTGCCCCGGCTGGAGTGCAGTGGCACACCCACGGCCACCTCAGCTTCTGCCTGCTGGGCTCAGGTGATCCTTCCACTTCAGCCTTCCAAGTAGCTGGAACTACAAGTGTGTACCACCACACCCAGCTAGTTTTTTTTTTTTGAGTTGGAGTCTCACTCCATCACCCAGGCTGGGGTGCAGTGGCACACTCACAGTCACCCCAGTGTCGGCCTGCTGGGCTCCGGTGATCCTCCCACTTCAGCCTTCCAGGTAGCCAGAACTACAGGTATGTGCTACCATACCCAGCTAATTTTTTTAATTAATTAATTAATTATTTTATTTTTTGAGTTGGAGTCTCACTCTGTCGCCCAGACTGGAGTGCAATGGCCGCTCCCAGCCACCGCAGCCCCGACCTGCTGGGCTCCGGCGATCCTTCCGCCTCAGCCTTCCAAGTAGCTGGAACTACAGGCGCGCGCTACCATGCCTGGCTAATTTTTTGATTTATTGTAGAGATGCGGTCTTGCCAAGTTACCCAGGCAGGTCTCGAACCCATGGGCTCAGTCAATCCACTCACCTCAGCCTCCCAGAGGCACGGGATTACAGGCTGAGCCACCGAACCCAGCTAATAATTTTTTGATTTATTATAGAGATGGGGTCTTGCCAAGTTGCCGGAGCTGGTCTCAAACCCGCAGGCTCAGGCATTCCATTAGCCTTGGCCTCCCGAAGAGCTGGGATGACAGGCTGAGCCACCGAGCCCGGCTCCCTTTTAGTGCTTCTGCCGTTTTTTGTTTAACCTCTTCTATGTAGCAAAACATTTCCCTTTGAGGACTTTTTTCATCTAGAGGAAAAAATAATAATTTGGGGTGAAACTGGTCATGCCATTTTGGTCAAAAACTGCTGAACACTCAGCATGGTGTGGGCAGGTGTGTTGTCATGGTAGAAGAACCAGTCACCTGTTTGCCACAACTCAGGACGTTTCTTTGCAACCTTCTCAGAACTTCCAGATAAAAACTTTGGTTGGTTGGTTGATCCAGAGGAACAAATTCCGAGTGTACTACAAGGGGCCCACACTCCACAAGATGATTTTGGTCTTCTCCCAGTCTCCTGCTGAGTTAATGTGCTTCTGAAGGTTCTGTTCCCTTTTCCTATTTCTGGCAGAAATATCTGGAAAGATGTCACTCTCACTAGCTAGGCCCAAATACTTATTACTAAGGTGTTTTTTTCTTAATTATTGCAAAAGTCTCCTGCCCTCCCTAGCTTTGATAACGAATTTGTATTTCGCATTCTCTGACTTAAGTAAAAAACTACTGTATTCTAATGGCTTTTCTCCCCCTCTTTCAATGCTAACCTTTTTGTTGGTTTCAGGAGTTCAACTAGATGTAGCTTCACAGTCTGTGGATCAAGAAGTTTTATTAAAAGTTAAAGCTGAAATTGAAGAAGAGTTAAAGTCCCTCGACAAAGAAATTTCTGAAGGTCTGTTTATTTTTATTTTCCTAGATTCTGTTTGCTGTGGTTTAGTGTTGCTTTAATCTGATTTTCACACTAGGGTGTTCTCAACATTACACAACTTCATTGGTGTAAGATATAAAGGTGAAACTAAAGGTAGCCTGTTTTCTTTCCTGGGGCATAGGCGTTTAAAAGTTTCCAAACTATGCCCAACAATCTCGATGTAGCTGTTTCTGGTGTTAAATAATGAACTAAATGGTCATTTTAAGGTCTTTAACTATAGTTGGATACCTTTATTTTTTATTATTTTATTATTTTATTTATTTTTTGAGTCGAAGTCTCACTCTGTCACCCAAGCTGGAGTGCTCACAGACGCCACAGCCTCCACCTGCTGGGCTCAGGCAATCCTTCCATCTCAACCTTCCAATTAATTGGAACTACAGGTACATGCCTCCACACCTGGCTGATTTTTTGATTGTAGAGATGAGGCCTTACCAAGTTGCCCAGGCTGGTCTCAAACCCCTGGGCTCAGGCAGTCCTCTTGCCTCTGCCTCCCAAAGTGCTGAGATTACAGTCATGAGCCATAAACTTTATAAAAAAAAAAATTAAAAGGAAAAAGGTAAGAAAACTGCTTTCATTTTTGCTTGCATATATGCTATAGATGGTTGTAATTATAATGTACATATAACTTTATAGCAACATATTTTGTACATAACATTATATCATGAACTTAAAAAATATTATACTAACTGCATGAAATTTTATTCATTGACTATTTACTCGGTTGTTCCCTTATTATTGAGAATAGCATTTGGGTTCTTTCTTTTTTTTACAACAAACTACTACTACACAACATTTGAGTTAATTCCTCTTTTGCCTTCCATAAGTAAATACTGTTTTGAACATCTTTCCCAGTAATTGTAACAGCTTTATTGAGATATATTTTACGTACCATAAAATTCATCCATTTAAAAGGTTAAGTGGTTTTGTTTTTTTTTTTTCCGAGTTGGAGTCTCACTCCTTCTCCCCGACTGGAGTGCTGTGGTCGTTCTCGGCCACCACAGCCTCGACCTGCTGGGCTCCGGCGATCCTTCCGCCTCAGCCTTCCAAGTAGCTGGAACTACAGGTGTGCATTACCACGCCCGGCTAATTTTTTATTTATTGTAAATAGATGAAGTCTCTCCAAGTTGCCCAGGCAGGTCTCGAACCCGCGGGCTCAGGCAATCCGCTCACCTCAGCCTCCCAAAGTGTGGGATTACAGGCTGGGCCACCGACCCTGGCTTGGTCCAACAATTTTTAGTGAACAAAATTATAAATTATGTTTATAGGCGGGGCACCATGGCTCACGCCTATAATCCCAGCGCTTTGGGAGACTGAGGTGGGAGGGTCACTTGGGTCCAGGAGATTGAGACCAGTCCAGACAACATAGTGAGACCTCATCTCTAGAAAAAATTTAAAAATTAGTCAGGTGTGGTGTGTGCCTGTAGTGCCAGCTACTCAGCAGGCTGAGGCTAAAGGATCCCTGGAGCCCAGGAGTTTGAGGTTATAGTGAGCTGTGATTGCACCACTGCACTTCAGCCTGGACAGTAGAGCAAGACTTTATCTCAGAAAACAAAAAAAAAATTATGTTTATAAATTAATTCCCTATTAGTAGAGAAAGGATATGAATAGAAATGTACAAATAATCCAGAAACCTAATGCTAGTCTTTATATCCCTATATCAACATTTTGAACTGATTAAATTTCCAAATCTCTCCTAAGCCTTAATCCACATTCGGATAACAGTACTGCTGTGTAGTACAATGGGCAAAAAGCCCAGAAAGGACAAGAGAGGAACAAAAGGCATACACTCTTTTATTAAATCCCATATTTTCTTTTCTTTGGAGTCTCACTGTGTTGCCCAAGGCAGAGTGAAGTGGCACAATCATGGCTACCCCAGCGCTGACCTGCTGGGCTCTGGTGATCCTTCCACCACAGCCTTCCAAGTAGCTGGAACTATAGGTACGCACTATCACACCTAGTTAATTTTTTTTATTTATTGTAGAGACAAGGTCTCACCAAGTTGCCTGGGTTGGTCTCAAACCTGCAGGCTCAGGCAGTCCACTCGCCTCGGCCTCCCAAAGTGCTGGGATTACAGGCTGAGCCAACAAGCCCGGTCAACCCCATCTTTTCTAAACTGGTCATTAAAATGAGGCCAGGTGTGGTGGCTCACACCTGTAATCCCAGCGCTTTGGAAGGCGGAGGCAAGAGGATTGCCTGAGCTCAGGAGTTTAAGACCAGCCTGGGCAATATGGCGAGACTTCATCTCTACAATATATCAAAAAATTAGCCAAGTGTTATAGCACGTACCTGTAGTATCAGCTGCTTGGGAAAGTGAGGCAGAAGGATAACCTGCGCCCAGCAAGTCGAGGCAGAGGCTATGGTGGCCACGATTGTACCACTGCACTGTAGCTTGGACAACAGAGTGACACTCTGACTCAAAAGAGAAAAAAGAAGAAAAGAAGAAAGAAAGACATACTTCTGTAGTAGCATTTGCAGCCTAGGAGCAAGCCTGAGGTGAATACAGTATTTTATGAAGGTGATTGGCAACTGTTGGGAGGGGGTGTCAGTGCCTGCTCTGCTGGGATTTCAGGCTCTGCTTCCCGCTTCTGCAACAGCAGTTCTCTGCCTGCCCATCATGCGCTCAGGGAGTGGTGGAATCTTCAGAAGGTGGGGTTAGGAAGTAGGTGAGAAGCTGGTAGAACTGAGGAGGGGTAACTTATGACTGCCTTTTCCAGTTTCAACTTTTTTTTTTTTTTTTGAGTTGGAATCTCACTCTGTTGCCCAGACTGGAGTGCAGTGGCCGCTTCCGGCCACCGCAGCCTTGAACTGGCTCCGGCGATCCTTCCGCCTCAGCCTTCCAAGTAGCTGGAACTACAGGCGCGCGCTATCACGCCCGGCTGATTTTTTGATTTATCGTAGAGATGAGGTCTCGCCTGCCCAGTCGGGTCTCAAACCCGTGGGCTCAGGCAATCCACTCACCTCACCCTCCCAAAGGCGCGGGATTACAGGATGAGCCACCGAGCCCGGCTCCAGGTTCAACTTTTATGCTTGTATAACCTTCATAGTTTTAAAATGTGTCCATGTGTAGTGATACTGAGTTTGAAAGTTCATTTTAGTAAAGGAATGAAAGCAATGGACTCATCCTCTGAGGTAGAGTAAACCGATTAGAATCTGGCTTAAGAAGTGCCATTTTTGGCCGGGCTTGGTGGCTCAACCTGTAATCCCAGCACTTTGGGAGGCCGAGGCGAGAGGACTACCTAAACCCAGGGGTTCGAGACCAGCCTGGGCAATTTGGTGAGATCTTGTCTTTATAATAAGTAAAAAAAATAATAAGGTGGGTATGGTAGCGTGCGCCTATAGGTCCAGCTACTTGGAAGGCTGGGGTGGAAGCATCACCTGAGTCCAGCAGGTCGAGGCTGCGGTGGCTGTGAGCGTGCCCCTGCACTCCAACCTGGGTGACAGAGTGAGACTCCAACTCAAAAAAAACACAAATTTTAATAGAGAAATGGTAGAGCCAGGAGTTGCTTCTCATTTATCCTTCTTAACACTGAGTTGGTCAGTAATAATAAACTAAATTGGTTAGCATATTTTAACATGTCAGTTTACTTGTTTTCTTCTTATAAAACTAAGCTTCTCATTAAAATCTTTCTTTAAAAAAACAACCTCAGCCAGGCTCGGTGGCTCAACCTGTAATCCCGTGCCTTTGGGAGGCTGAGGTGAGTGGATCGCCTAAGCCCGTGGGTTCGAGATCCGCCTGGGCAACTTAGCAAGACCTCATCTCTACAATAAATCAAAAATGAGCTGGGCGTGGTAGCGCGGGCCTATAGTTCCGGCTACTTGGAAGGCTGAGGCGGAAGGATCGCCGGAGCCCAGCAGGTTGAGGCTGCAGTGGCTGGGAGCGACCGTTGCACTCCAGTCTGGGTGACAGAGTGAGACTCCAACTCAAAAAAAAAAAAAACAACCTCTAAATTTAGGGCCTATTGGTGTTTGTGTTCCAGGAATGATTGATGTCCGTAATGATTATCTGGCTTTTTTTTTTGAGTTGGACTCTCACTTCGTCGCCCAGACTGGAGTGCAGTGGCACGCTCCCAGCCACTGCAGCCTCGACCCACTGGGCCCTGGCGATCCTTCTGCCTCAGCCTTCCGAGTAGCTGGAATTACGGGCACATGCTATCATACCAGGCTGATTTTTTTTTTTTTTAATTGTAGAGATGAGGTCTTGCCAAGTTGGCCGGGCAGGCCCAGGCAATCCACTCACCTGGGCCTCCCAAAGCGCTGGGACTACTGGTTGAGCCACCAAGCCCCGCCGATTATCTGGCTTTTAAAAGTGACTTATAATGATTAACTTGTTCCTTTTTTCTCTTTTTTTTCCTCTCTTTTTTTTTTTTTTTTTTGAGTTGGAGTCTCACTCTGTCACCCAGACTGGAGTGCAGTGGCCGCTCTCGGCCACCGCAGCCTTGACCTGCTGGGCTCCGGCGATCCTTCCGCCTTAGCCTTTCAAGTAGCTGGAACTACAGGGACGCGCTACCACACCCGGCTAATTTTTGATTTTATTGTAGAGGTGAGGTCTCGCCAAGTTGCCCAGGCGGGTCTCGAACCCGCGGGCTCAGGCCATCCACTCACCTCAGCCTCCCAAAGCACGAGATTCCAGGCTGAGCCACCGAGCCCCGCTTTCTCTCTTTTTTGAGTTGAAGTCTTACTTCATTGCCCAGGCTGGAGTGCGATGGGACTGATGGCCACTCCAGCATCAACATGCTGGGCTCTGGCGATCCTTCTACCTCATCCTTCCAAGTAGCTGGAACCACAGGTACACACTACCATGCCCAGCTAGTTTTTTGGTTTATTGTATAGACAAGGTCTTGTCATGTTGCCCAGGCAGGTCTCGAACCCGTGGGCTCAGGCAGTCCTCCTCGCCCAAAGTGCTGGGATTACAGGCTTGAGCCACTGCTCCCAGCCGACTTGTTCCTAATAGCTGTCTGTTGTTGTTGTTGAGTCAGTCTCACTCTGTCACCCAGGCTGGAGAGCAGTGGCATTCTCATGGCCACTGCAGCCTCAACCTGCTGGGCTCGGGCAATCCTTCTGCCTTGGCCTTCCAAGTAGCTGGAATCACGGGTGCACACTACCACACCTGGCTAAGTTTTTGATTTATTGTAGAGACAAGGTCTCGCCAAGTTGCTCAGGCTGGCCTCCAACTCGTGGTCTCAGGCAATCCTCTCATCTCTGCCTCCCAAAGTGCTGGAATTACAGGCATGAGCCACCATGCCCGGCCCTAATAGCTGTTTTAATAGCCTGGGCTTTTATAGCACAACTTTTGATATTTGTTTGTTAAGTTAGATTTGTCTTTCGCCCTGTCTTCAGCCTTCACCAGCACAGGATTTGACCGTCACACTTCACCAGTGTTCAGCCCTGCTAACCCAGAAAGCTCAATGGAAGACTGCTTGGCCCATCTTGGCGAAAAAGTGTCTCAGGAACTGCAAGAGCCTCTGTACAAAGCGTTGCGAGTGCTCCTCAGCCAGTGAGTTGTCTTGCTGAGTGGGAATGGGCTTCTTGGAGGAGTCTCTGGGCCTCTCATGCGGCGCTGCATTGTTAAGGCTTTGTCTTCGGTGAATGATGTCACTTCTTTTCTCGCTTTCTTCTTTTTGCGTTTGCTTTCCCAAGACATCTGTTTGTGTGTTGAATAAGGACTTCGATTCAGAGCAGTGATGTAGCTGTTCCAGCATAGATTTGTTCATTTGTGTTTACCTGTTGAGCTATCAGGCTTTGACAGATACCTTTGCTGGTTGGTAAATGCTGTTTCTCTTGTCTTGACCACCTTTTACCACTCTTTCCTCTAGTGGCCAGCGTCAGCCTGATGGCGAGGGGCTTGTGCATTGCAGTGAGGGATGAGCATGATGTCTGTTTTAAACGTTATATCCAAATCCCAGCTGTGGTGGAACTGCCCGTGCAACTGCTTCTCCATCCTTGTAATACAGCCTTCTCTCCCAGCTGTGGTTCTGACCACAGTAAACCTAAAGTCAAGAAGCTAGTAAGAATAGAAGCATATTGAAGTAGAAATCATTTATTGTAAGTTTTAAAAATTTATTTCCCCTAATTCTTTGTTGAGAATCATTTAGGAGTGGGTTTGAATTAGAAAAATGTCTTAATGAAGTTTGGCGACCTTATACAACTGGATGAAGACCTTTCTTCACTAAAAGGGCCAAAATTCAATGCCAGATTACTGATTCAATAAGGCAATTCCTTACGTTCATATAGGCAAAGGTTATAGTTTACCATTTGTTAGAAGAGAGCAATTTGGGTTTTAGGAGAATTCAATTTGTTTCTGCAGTCTGGTAAAATGAGCATACATAAAAGTCCTAACTACACTTAGACAGTGAAATGAAATAATATTTGGATTTTCTTGACCTTATATATAGAGAAATTTTAAACTAAGCGTAGAGAGAAGGATATGAGTGTTGGGAAACAAAACTTAAACAGGAAATTTGGATTCACAGCAGTGGTTTTCAAAAACTCTCCTGGGAAGCCTTGGGCACTGAGGTGCTGGAGGGGCCTCTGAAAGGTAAGGGATGGATTGAGCGGGTGGGGCTCGTGAGGGCCTTCCACTCTTCTTAAACTAGAACACCTATACTTGGGGATATTTTGTACGTTAAGGATATATGATATGAGAAAGAACTTTGCTGCTTCCTTCTCTTCCCCCCAAAAAACCATTTAAAGCCTTTGGGACCAGGAGTAAAATCACAGCAAGGTGTAGGCAAAAGAGTCTTTTTCAACTTTGATACAAACGGTGACTTTGAAACCATTTCACTCTTAATATTTCGATTTCTCCATCTGTTAATTTTAACTTTATTGGTATTATATAGTTTTTTTTAAAGTAATGTCTTTTTCATAATCTACAGGAAAAATTAGTATCTTCTCACTACAAATTCTATTTAAAAGAAAATTACCTTTGATGAATATTTATTTTTTCCCCAAACCCTGAATACTGATATAATTATTTTTTAAGTTTGCTACCTATCAAAATCAGGTCTTTTTTTTTGGAGTCGGAGTCTCACTCTGTCACCCAGGCTGGAGTATGGTGGCACACTCATGGCCATTGCAGCCTCGACCTGCTGGGCTCAGATGATCCTTCTGCCTCAGCCTTCCAAGTAGGTGGAACCACAGGTACGCACCACCGCACCTGGCTAATTTTTTTATTTGTTGTAGAGACCAGGTCTCGCCGAGTTGCCCAGACTGGTCCTGAACCCCTGGGCTCAGGCAATCCTCCTCGCCTCAGCCTCCCAAAGTGCTGGGATTACAGCTTGAGCCACCATGCCTGGCAAAATCAGGTCTTTTTATGAATACATTTTTTTCAGAACTCTACTTTAGAAAGTTTTAAGCTCTGGGAATAATACCTTGAAAATAACAGATTGATGATAAACTAGAAGTCTCATGCAGGTTGAAGCAGTAACTTAAGGTGGAAAATACCACCCCGGGGCCGGGGTGGGGGGGGAGGGCGACACACCTCATATCAACAAGGGCGCCTACATAATGAATATTTGTATCCCTGACCCTGAATTGTACCCCACATCTTCAAAATTAAAAATAAAAAGCAAAGAAAGTACCATCTACTCCAGATAGTTTTGCTGAAGTAAGAAATTAATCTGAACTCTTCAAGTAGAACACTAGCAGTTTCAAAAGGTATCCCCTCCACCTTTTCTTCTTTGCATTATTCTAATAGCTCAATAGGTAGGGCTGGTTATTCAGCTGCTTTACTATGTATTTGATTTCCTTTGAATGTTTTAATCTGCTGCATTTATGTGCATAAATGTGTGTACATAATAATGTTTCAAATCATGTTTCGTTCTGAAGGATGCTAAAGTACTTTAGCCTGGTAGACAAACTGCCAGTAAGGACTACTGTGACCCACAGCAGCATCCAACAGTTCAGGAAAGGAAGTGAAGGGACTGATACACGCAAGTAAAGCTTCAGGGAGAATATAGGTAGGTAGACTGTGTAGTATCTGCTGAAGTTCAAGTTTTACAGGCATCTACTATTTAGCTCAAGTCTTCTAAAGAATACTGCGCTTACTTTAATGGGAATGTGCTGTCAGTAAGGTGGTATATACTGTGCACATCTCATCATTATAAATGCCATCCCTGGTATGTCATCTCCCTTCAGGCATCACTGTGGTAATGATTGAATGTTGACTTGTATAAAGAATGACATGTGTATCACCATACCATTTCCAAAATATTTAGACCGGTGCTGTTTGATAGATAGAGTGCAAGTCACATACATATATGTAATTTAAACATTTCTAGCAGCCACATGAAAAAGTGAAATTATTTTAAAAATTTTCAGTAATATATTTAGCCCTGTAGATTCAAAATATCATCTCAGCATGTACTCAATACAAAAAACGATTAGTGAAATATTTTGCATTCTCTTTTCCTTCTAAGTCTTTGAAATCCAGCATGTGTATCATACTTTCAGCACAACACTAGCTACATTTCTGATGCTTATTAGCCACATGTGGCATCTAGACATTGTGGTGGCATGTGTCAAAATCCTAACTTGAAATAAGAGTAGTGGCATTTGGAGCCAGCTCTAATTGGGTGTGAATTCCTACCTTGCTGCTTGCCAGCTGTGTGTTTGGGATAATCGCTTAGCTTTTCTGAGCTTTGGTTTCCTTATCTGTAAAATGATGTGTAACATAAAATATAAAACTTAACATGATAAGCCACCAATAAATGGTAGCTGTTATTGATCTTAAATATTCATAAGCTAAAGAGATTACAGACCAGAGTGGTCAGAGCAGAAAATGCCTTTGGAATGGAATTTGAAAGTCCTAGAAAAGCAAGACTCCCCCAGCTCTTTTATTTTTTTAACATGTATACTAGTACTTTGCCCAAACACCGGAAGAAGAGGGGATAAATTTTATTAAATTTATCATTCAAGCTATTGATGCCCTCATGTGTTACTTGGCACCAAGGTTTTCGTTTGTTTTTAAAATTTACACATGAACCAGTGCTTAAAATGTAGTACTTAAAGTCTTTCAACAAATACCTGAGTGAATGTTGTCATCACTCGTGATTTGAGGTTTTGTATGACTAGGGCTTACATGCAAATAATCGGAGTGGCTTATCTCTCTACCCTCCAGGATCTTATATCATAAGACTCCAGGTTAAAAATAGGACTTGAGCCGTGTGTTGGCTCACGCCTGTAATCCCAGCTACTCTAGAGGCTGAGGTGGGAGGATCGCTTGAGACCAGGAGTTAAAGACCAGCCTGGGTGACATAGGGAGACCCCATCTCAAAAACAAATAAATAAACAAATTATTTTTAAAAACAAGACTTTGTTGCCCTTGTTTATTCCAGCTCTTATATCCTCAATTTGAAAAGTTGATGTATCTTTCAGTAACACATCTCTTTAGTTTTTAAATATTTTAGGTATTTTGCCTTTAAAAAATAAAAACTGTGGTTTTAATTTTACTAATGAGATCATATTTGTTATTATTTTTTCCAACATTAATAACCCAGGTATATATCTACATCATAGAAAGCCTACCAGATAAGTTCTAAGCAATTACAAAGAATTATGAGAATGTACATATATCTTGTTTATTATTATTTCCCAAGAATGCATCTTAGCCTATAGAATGCTTGAAAAAAAATGCATGCCACATGTGAAAAGCCACATCTTGTACAAAATAATGTGTTGAATAATCCTGTCACTTTGGCAAAAAGTTCAACAGAATAGTAACTGTATTTATTCATCTGGAGATTTAGAATTTTCCTTCTTTGTGACACAGACTTTTAAAAACATCTCTACAGGCCAGTGACATATCAGGCATTTCGGGAATGTACATTGGAGACCGCAGTTCATGCCAGCGGCTGGAATAAGGTATCACCAAATGATCTTTTCTCTTACAAGATTTGAGTGCATTGATTATAAAGTATAGGAGGAATTGGTAGCATCATGCAGCAGAAAACTGTTAGAGCTCATTATTTAATGCATAAACCCGAATGTGTTAAATGGATATTTTTGGTTAAATTGGATTTTGGATTAATGCTGCAGGGTTCTGCTTTGTCACAGATGTGTATCCTATAGTATGCCACCCTTCCTTCCTATCTGTCTTGAGTTTCTCATCATTTCTTCATTTCTCCGGTTTATTGTGAAATGTATCTTCAATTGGTTATTTGTTAACATGGGGTGTGCCTTCGGGGAAGGGATTAGGACTGTGTTTGGGAGACAGCCTCTTTTGTTCTCTTAGATGAATAATGTCATTTGTATTGTGCTTTTATAGTTGAAAACCTTCTCATGTTACATCTCATTGGACCATCTCTTTATAGATGGCAGAATGGATTTTATTAGGTCTTGTTTTGTTATTTAGTTAGTTAGGTTGGGTGACTAATCAAGAAAAAAGTTCAATGAGCCTTTGACTAGTACATTTTGGAACCAGCACTAGACCCGAGGTCTTTTGATTCTAGCCTCCTGTGTTTTTTCCATTGTACCGTATTGCTAATTATCTTAGACTCT